ATGGCCTGGCCCTCTCTGCCCATGAAAACGTGGTGGTGGTGACCATTCAGTACCGTCTGGGCATCTGGGGATTCTTCAGGTAAGTTTCTGGGCTCTCCTCCCTGCACTCTGGTCCCAAAGTGAGGGTACTGGGACCCAGCGCTGGTCATGCCAGCCCTCAGGGGACCTTTGCTAAGTTCCTTATAAAGGGCATCCCAGTCTCCTCATGATCGGACCGCCCTTACCTTCTCATCACCCAGCCACACTTGTTCACTTGCTCCTGAGCTTTTGCATGTGCTCTTTCCTCTGCCTGGAATGCCTGCTCTACCCGGCAAACTCCTATTCATCCTGCAAGGCCCAGCGCACATGTTGCCGCCTCTGACGTACTCATCTCCTTTTCACCTGTGCTGCCCTAGCACGTTCCGCATTCCTCTGTCCAGCCATTAGATGCAGCTCAGCGGTGAAAGGTTCACTGGTCTTCCTTCTCTTGGGAAAGGAAGGGAGGGGCAGGCCCACGGAGGGACCTGGGTGAAGGCTTGTGGGGGAAGGAGGGTGGCTGGAGATGGGAGTTTGTCGGAGCCCCTGAGCCCAGTGAGCCCCCCTCCCTGGAGGGGTGTCAGGGTCCACTTACCCCATATCCTGCTTAAAATATGGGACATTCAGTACTCAAGGCTGCAGGCTTCTCTGGGGGGACAGGGAGCAGGATTATTGTCACAGCCACTCACTTGGTCACTCTGCGACTTTTGTGCTGCGGCTGATGCACACAGCAGCCAGAGAGATCAGATCAGGCATAGGTTGAGTCCTGTGATTCCTCTGCACAAACCTGGAGGGGCTTCCCACGTGACCTGGGATGACACGCAACTTGCTTCCCCAGGCCCACAGGGCCCTCTCCAGCTGCACCTCCTACGTGCCCACAGTGCTCACTGGGCCCCAGGGCCTTTTGACTTGCTGTTTCTTCTGTCTGGAATTGTCTTCTTTGGATATTGGCAAGGCTCATGTGCTCGTTTCATTCAGGCTTCTACTCAAATGCCACAGCGTCCGAGAGGCCTTCCCTGGTGACGTGATCTGAAGTAGCAACCACCGCCCCACCTCTGCCTTTTCCCTCACCCCATTTTATTTTCCCTCAACGTGCTTTCACTCCCTGACATTTTATTCTATATTTATCTGTTTATTTGTTTGTGGACTGTACTGAGAGCTTACTGTAGTCAGAGATTTCCCTATTTTGTTCTCAGTTGTGCTCTATCTCCTAGCACAGCGTTGGGCACTGCTGCGCCTACCAGTGGGTCATCCTGGGCGAGTCACTGAGCGATCACCTTCCTTGAGACTCCACATGGAGCAGATGCTCAGTAAATCCTGTCCGGACGA